ATATGCACAGAATAAGCAGCAACTATCTACTAGTGGGGAATGATGCTAATCACCATAATAATGACTGCATCTTTCAGGTGTATATACTATGCCAAAGCTTCAAAAACATGGCCCATAAAATCGTTGCTGCTCAAGGTTGCATTATTATTAACCCTCGGCGTGCATGCGTGTTTGTGGCCGAAGGTTTTTTAATTGCACTTTTAAATTTTAGTGGCACTTTTGGTTTAGTTGTTGCCAGCCAGTAGTGGCTAGTTGTGGCCAAATGGTATAGCTAATATGTACCTGTTTCTTTTTGCAATAGCAGCTCCACCAACAAGCCCAGTAGATGTACCTACTGCCACACCAATCAGGGATATGATCACTGCAGCTATTACAGCAGTTGAGCAACTGCACTCACAATCAAGATCTAGCACGAAATATCACAGATTTTGGCAGTGATACAGTGGAACTCCTGTAATCATGACACTAGGAAAGTGTCCATATTAGTGCGATGTCCTAAATTGAAAGCATTTCGCACTGTTTTGGGGAAAGATCATTGACTTTATTTCAGGGGTGCCCTTAAACAGTAGAGTTTTCTTGAACATTATCTCAGAAAGTTTTTGTTCGATTTCAGCTCATACTGAAGTCAATACAACATCTCTACATTATAAGTCAGAATAATACTTTTTGTATAATACTATTATACCTTTCTCAATTTTTACAGTCTGTGCTATTACAGGATCAGAGTAGAGTCCAACATCTCCATTCTCATTCACAGCAGCTACTGATATGGAGTAGTTTGTGGAGGGAGTCAGTCCGGTCAGTAATACCTCTCCCCCACTCCTCCAGTCTTCACCACCTCCCAGATGTCATAGTCTCAGTCTGTCTTGCTGCTGTACTGAACTCTGTACTGAGTGATTCGACCATTGACCAGTCTACAGTTGGAGAGGCCACTCCACTGGACAGAGATCTCAGTGGAGCTCTCAGCCTCTGCTCTCACATCCCCAGGAGCCTCTCTTGCACCTGTACATACACATACAGACATACACACAGACTGTGAGACCACAATCCTCAGTGGGTCTCACTTGTCTGTGGTGTTAGAACTCTCCTGGTCCCACTGGGTCGACTGGTACCTCGAACATCACTGACTGCCTCCACAGTCACCTCATATGTGGTGTAGGCTCTCAACTCATCAGTCACTGTTGACCCCACATCTCCTCCTACAGCAATACTGACAGTAGTGGAGGGAGCATCCACTGTCAGAGTGGCAGTATGAGAGTCAGTAGGACATAGTCCCTCCTGATTGGTTCCCTGAGCCTTAGAGAATGTGACAGTATATCTGTTAGCATCATCCACTGCCCCCCAGGACACAGTGACTGGGGATGATTCTGCAGCAGTCAACACATCTTCAGGAGTGTCAGGAGCTGTGGAAGAGAGAGAAAGAAGGAACGGTGAAAGTGGACTGCAGTGGATCCCTCTGTCTAAGGACACCTCTCTATATACTAAGAACTTCCCCAAGAACGGTTCAACTTAACCCCTGCAATAAGGACACCTCACTAATATGGACACTTCTTCTGTCTCATTGGTGTCAGATTAGAGGGTTTCCACTTTAATTTCCACCCTCACCCAGTGTAATAGTCATCTCTCCAGACACTCCAGGTAGCTTGTTGCCAGCGACAGCCTCTACCAAGAAGGTGTACGTCCTCCCTTTGGACAGATCAGTGATATCAGCACTGGTAGTTGTGGAGCTCAGTATTGCAGTGACATTCTCACGTCCACCAGAAAGAGAGTAGCGAACTGCATATCCAGTCAGTGGGGACGTTAGTGAAGCAGTCCAGTCGACTCTGACAGTAGTCGGAGCTGTTTGCTCCAGTAAAGTGATATTTGGAGCAACAGCATCTGTAAAGGGAAAAAAGTGTAGCTAGCTAATCAACTGAAGTCCATTGTATAGCGTACCTTCCACAATAACACTGCTGGTGTTTGACTCAGCACCAGTCACATTACACTGGTACACATCTCCAGACATGCCGCCAGATATCACTTCAGTGACAGCAGTATAGCTGTCATCCCCCTGAAACATCCTAGTACCAACTGGCCGTATATTGGTACTGATGTCAGAGTTGTATCCACTAGTTCCAGAGACGGCCATGTTGAGAGCTCTACCACCAGTGGAGGTACACCTCACTCGGAATGTCAATGTTCCCGCCTCCACCTCAATAAATGCAGTTACCTCAGTGACTGGAGGAGATGAATGGTAGCTACAGAACATCTCTCTCAGAAATACAGGTCAGGAGGCAAAGAGACTTTTACAACTTCTGTACAAAAGCCCATTGGGGCAGCGCTCACTTCACATTTTATCACTTTCAAATTTATCCACTTCCATATTTCCCCTATTCAAAATTATACTGTTTCTAAATTTCTCCACTTCCAAAATTCTTCACTTACGCAAAATGCATAATGCCATGCCTGCTGATACTATAATAGATCTAAAGGTTACTATCTCTCATTATGTCATGTGAGATGCACTGCTATAATATAATACTCACTGGGATGCAGAACGAACAGACCCGATAGAGGGTTAATATCGCCCTCCATAACACAGTTGAAATACCCTTCCTCTGCATTTTCCAACCTCCTCTGCAGTGAATAGACTCTATAATCCCCCCTCTGGCCACTTCTTCCAACCCATCCCCGCGCCACTCTGCCACGATCTGGTGTGGCCTGCGGACCTTCACGAGCACAGGTCACTGGACCACTCCCATCACCAACGAGACAACCGTAGTGTAAACTGATGTAATTCTGGGTCCGTTGGGACTCGCATAGGAGCCTACTGGCACGGTAGTCAGTTGGACTCAACACCAGAAAATCATTAATACTGATCCTTGACATGTTGTTGTTTGGAATTGGTCCATTTGTTGAAGATACGATCACCCCTGTGCATATAGTGATAATTGCTGTGCCTCAACACATAGTAAGTATGAACAACGGCCTCACAAAACATGTCTTACCTTCCACATCAAATGTCCAGCAAAAGTAGCACAGAGCAACGACCAGGACCAATTCCATTGTCGCGATCTTGTTCCCAGCTAGCGGTGAAGCATTGACAGCAAATGACTCTATATTATATCATCGTTTATACACGCCAAAGATAAACAAGACTGTGTACATTAGACTTGGTCCATAGACATGTTAGTCAGCAGAAACATGCAGAGCTAACTTAATCATGTCAGTCTCCAGCATCAGCATGGACACAGAAAACTAGGAACAGAAGACCTTAGCACCAACACCGTCATCCCACTTGTCTCAGAATTTTAATGCACTTTCATAATTTTTAATGCATAAACAAAAATGTAAATGCCTGCGCAATGTAAAAAGTTAATATCAATATCAACAACTGAAGGGTTCATATAATATATTGTCACCAAGGGGCAATAATCACCCACATGAAGTGTATAAGGGTGATTGATCAACGTAAAAGTGATGATGGAGGTGGTCCACTACTCAGTCACTACGGATGAAATATACGAGAAGTGTCAATGATACATTCAGATAGAGCACATCGTCTTTACATAACTTGAATCATCTAATACGTTTAGCTTGGAGAACTGGCGGGCAGCCTGCACAGGGGGAGAGAGAGAGAGAGAAATAAGTATGTATGGTAGAAGCATAGAGAGTGAACTATTGGTGTGGAATAATTTGTTCCATTACTGGCTCTGCACCATAAATACAAGGTGTGAAACCTATGAACCTTGAACTTTGGCATGTTGGCCTTCAGAGAAGCGACAAATTGTTTACAAGGGTTGTGAAACGGAATGTGGGCAACTTACACTTATAAACTGTAAATGGAAACTCAATGGGAATTTATAAACTGTAAATGGAAACTCAATGGGAATTTAAATGGAAACTCGTTGGGAATTCTTGCACTAGGACCTAGCAACATATCAAAGGGTGCTCTCTATAATAATGGTACTATGAGAGGTGGGGGAAGGTAGCCAACCCAACCTGAGGCAACGTTCATATCACTAGTCGGTCTCTTGAACGAAGAGCTCTCGGCCGTCGGTTTAAATGTCTGCACGACGTGTTTCCGCTGATCCTGGTCCACAAGGATGAGAGAAACCTGCCAGTTGGAGGAAGAGGATGTTCAGCAAAAGTTTGAATGAAACACAATAATTGCCTGTTTAACAACCGTTCCAGATGTTTTGTAACCACAACAGCAAAATTTTCTAGTTCTCAAAATCTTAGCACATCAACAATCTCAGAGCTTAGTATAAAGATTTCGCTTTAAGGAAGCAAAAGTTTTGCGAATTTGGTGATATTTTGCACTTTGAAAATTCACGACACAGCACATGACACAGAAAAGAGTGACAGCTAGTTAAAAACAAATAATTAGTCACCTTGTACTCGAAAGGCCACTTTAGAAGGGGATCAAATTCTCCTCTCATTAACACAAAAAACACTGAGAAATGAGTTTTATATCACTTCCACGCCATTGAGATATGCTCTAATACACATCTTGTAGCCATCCTGAGGGAAGATAGACAGTGGAAAGTAAGACTAATAGACAAAGAGATAGGCTCTATCATAAATCTGGTAGGTATTACAGGTAGAAAGAAGGAGGGTGGGGAAGATAGTGAACAATGGAGGGTGTGTGTGATAAGAAAGGAAGGGGGAAAAGGAAGCAAGACAAAGAGAAGGGAAGAGTTTAACAGGAAGGAAGGAAACTTAAAAAGAAAGAATGTTAGACAAAAGAAAGCTATCCATTGACCTACATAATAATTATACTTAGACAAAAGACCCATTGACCTATACTATCTACTATAGCGCTTTCCATTGTCTCTGGATGTATAGTAAATATGTGCTCTTTATGTTCGAACCGGCCACTATAGAATGGTGGGCTGTAAATGGAAGTGATTCTCTCGTCGATGGCGTCTCTCCGTCTCCTAGCAACCTCGGGTATTCTCCATAGGAACGATCCGTTGTGGGTTGAGGCGAGAGAGGCTTGGAGCTGTAACTCCAACTCTGACATGTTTACCTGCAGAGATCGGCCAGGAGATATATACATATTTGCTGTATTCTAAAAACAAATGACAAACAAAAATAATCAACTGTTACGCATTTATGGAACCACATTACAAAGAGTATGCAGTAAATATTCTCCATCTTATTGTGTTCCCTCACAGCTGCTAGTGATATTCATGTCTTGCGCTTCAGCAAACTGAATTCATAACCTGAATTTGCTTAGCCACATCCTTTCCGATACCACAGTTGAGATAACTGTATTCACACCGACCATAAAAGAATGCCCACATCCGTTTTTTATGATATCACAGTAATGAATTCAATAGAAGCTCTGTCCATGAGAAGGCAGACTTATGAACAAATATGGACTTAACAAGCAATGCACCTGCTCCAGCCAATGCTCCAGCCAGCATAGTATGATTCTATTTAGCACTAGTAGTCATATGAGCGAAATAAGCACTGATGACACAGCATCACATGGTGTTGTGATATCAAAGAATGTGAGTAGCTGTTCTAATTTGCGATTGCACAACACTATTAACTATAGTGTCTATAATACATACATACATGGGTGTTCATGAAGTTTAGCTAAACTTTCCGGGAACTTCCCTAGCATAGCAAGGCACCTTCCTGCCTGCCTGAAAATGAAGAATACCTCACTTAGTGTGGTATAGTTCCATGAACAGTTGGATGTAGTTGGATGTAATTGTATGTGAATGCATGATGTCTGATCTGTGAAAGTGTAGGGTTTGTTTCCATGTTTTCCACATAAATTACGCAAAAAATCTAAACACGTGTTGTCCAGGCTCCCTGACAGATAACAACTTGTATTGACCTTCAGGGTGCTGGTTTCTCTCTCTCACTCTTAACATTCAACGATAGCCAAGGACACTGTCATGCTAAAACCATGTTCACAATTCTAAAAGGCAATGCTAACAGTATTCATAGCAAAGAACATATCCAAATATGGCCATACCAAGTTGAGCAGCACAAATGAAATTCATCATTTTTAGTGACATCACATGCTCCATGAATATGACTCGCTGACCAACTAGGGACGAACTATGCCTACTCCAATGTCCCATGACAATAGCACGTGGAATATGGTTCCACAAACATAGCCAAATCAAAACCTACACTGTTGCTAGCTGAACTGCAGCAGGCTTAATTAGCTGTGACTATCTTTTTAGGTCACATGCGACAAATAGTAACCAACTTTGAACTTCTAAACTGCTGCTAGTGTAGTGATGGCATAATTTGCATCACAAGTTGAACTGATCTCAGAGCACATGATTGGGGATCTAAATTACCTCAAGTTCGGGATTGTACAAAATCATTATCAGTGGAAGGTTTTAAAGTACCAAATGATCAGCGCAACCAATGGTGTCAACACCAAGGCAAGCACCATACTATCATTATGCCCCATGTACCATCACTATATCCGCATATGCAGCTGTACATCGAGACTAAATGTCACAAAAGTCACAAAGTAAGAGCTGTATCACGAGGGTATGTATATATGACCTTCAGGGTGCTAGTCTCTCTCTCCTGTTGCTCCGTTCTCTGCTCCAACATCATCAGTCTCGATCTCACGTGACCTTCCCCTCCTCCCTCCCACTCTCTCCCTCCCACCTTCCCCCCTCCTCCTCCTCCTCCTCCACTGCTTGCTCTCACTGTCTCCATCTCCTTAGTTAGTCCGTTCATCCTAATCCATACAAAACACCTAACACGATGTTCCTCTGGAAAAGAACACGATGTTCCTCTGGAAAAGAACACGATGTTCCTCTGGAAAGAACACGATGTTCCTCTGGAAAAGCACCACGGCCCACAGTGAAACTTCTGAATAAGGGACACCCTTTGGAGACTTTATCAGATTAATATGTGGCAGAGCCAAGTGCCCTAGTATGGTGATGTGTCCTTTTACAGTACCTCCCACTATCTCTCTGAGTACAAACATTAGAACTAGCAACACTATTACATGTTTTAGAACGGAATTGCTCAATTTGAGGTTTGTATGATCTCGTATTCATCCTGCAATGTTTTCCGAGAGAAGTATGAGGTCATCATTACATCACCCCTTCTTCCTGGTATACCACCCTAAAAGCCTATGATGTCAGCATTAACATCACACCAGTTGCTAGGAAACTTGTACACAATAACTGGAGCACAAACCCTTTCTCATATATAGCACATGTGTAATTGTTTTTACAGCACAGTTAAAGATCTGAAAAGGACCCGTAAAAAATAAAAGACAACTATATAGCGTCCCTTTTTCAGAGGTTATAATTTGTGAGAAGTGACTGACACTCACCTCTCCTCTACCGCAATACGATTATTCCTCTCAGTCTCCATCTGCCGTCCGAATGCCTTCAGCTGGTCCTCAAGTCGACCAATCAGCTTTATCACTCCTTCGTCCAGCTCTTCGTTGCCATGGGAATCACGAGAAGCGGCCTCAGTAAGACGAGTCACTGTTGTCCGCGAAAGAGATGCCATATCTGTAGAGAGGGGAGCAATAAAGGCTGATCGTATGCTTGTTAAAATTTTAACCCACAGGCAAAAAACTAGCGACTAGCAAGGGGAAAAGAACCTAGCCTGAAAAAAGACAATTCTAAAGACAATTCTAAAGTTTTGCTCATGAATGATGAAATGTAGGGAGTTATCCATGAAGCAGTGAAATGCATCAGAACTACTAGAACTCTACAAAATCCACCAAAGGCTTCATTTGGACTTGCACACACACACCCACAACAAAAGGCTACCGCTCCCCCACTGTGTTTTTACACATCTGTTACACACATCTTTACTACAATTCCACCCACTCCTTATAACCTCCCCCAACTCTTTCCCCAAACCTTGTTTGTCCTCCCCCTCTCTCTTCTCTCCCTCCCTCTTCCTTCCCCTCCCTCGTCCTTCCCTCCCTCCCTCTCCCTCCCGCTCTCACCAGTCCTCAACAGCTCCTGCTGGGTTGCCAAGGTCTGCACATGTCTGAACACAGCCGTCGGATGTCCCAAATGATACCCTCCATCCTCCTCCCCCTGCCCCTCCTCTCTCTCCTCTGTCGTCGCCACGGCCGATGACTTCTCCCCCTTCCTCTGCTGCTTTTGTTTGGAGCGGGGGCCAGATTTCTTGCCCCCCTGGCCCCCAGAGGGGGTCGCAGATTGGGATTTTGAGGAGTCATCAGTAGCAGTAGAGGAAGATGAGGAAGAATGAGAGAGATCTCCAGAGGATCCCACATGTTTGGACGTCTTTCTGTCGACCTATAAAATTAGCATAAATAATGTGTACATTAAAAACCTCAATAGAAAAGATAATACCAATGTAAGTAGCTGAAATTATGAATATTGGTACAATTGACAGTTATAGTAACCACCCCCAAAAACAGCAACATATGACACCCTGAAAACCAGCGAAGTGAAAAATAGGGACCAGACGTTGCTGTAGCAGGCAGCTGGCCGTCATGAATGATTCTTGTACATCTATGTCTGTTCCTTACTTGACACAGACCTGGCAACTTACTACAGATACTCCCACTACCATTCAACATTATCACACACAATTAATTCACTACAACATACCGAAAGTTCTTCTGAGAAGCATTATGCGTGGTTGTATATACAGGGTCTTACCCAGGGATTTTTCATAGCTAGTACAAGCTGTACTGCGCTCCCTACTTGTGAATATTATTGTAAAAAACAAGAAACACACAGTGTGCTGTGTTTTCACCAAAACATGTGTTTAAGTAAACCTTTTTCTCCCCGAATAAGCAGTTCTCTTACTCATCTATGTATAAAAGCCATGTTTATAAACAACAACTACGTAACGCATATAGGAGCACATACAAATGAGCATGCTTTTGGGAAGTCAGCCAAAAACCATACATCAACAAGTCCAAAAAACCCAGGTGTGTATATAGACTCTCCCAAATACACACACATGTGACTATTACATAACGTTACACCACAAGCCTCATCTGCTTTGCAATCTGATTGGTCAGTTTGTTTTAAACAGTGTATGGCAGTCTTTGAGATACTAGAAGAAAGCTACCTAGTATGTCTGTAGTTGCATTGCACACATACCGTACTGTTAAACTTCACACACTCCCTATGCTACTGACTCAATGATGTAATGCTCTATAGCACACTTGTTTGCATTCATTTGCCAAAAGCACGACATTGTCCCATGTACACTTATAGAGATGTGGTATTCAAGAATATGGATAAGGTGTTGCGCAACATGCGTGCCATACCTTAAACTTAGTAAAACATGAAAGGTTTGGAATTCATGGTCCATGGTGTGTGAATGAATACCAAGCATACCAGAGAGTTACAGACGAGACATTCCTCCAGTCTACAGCTGTGTTGGAGATGGTGATTCAGCAGGTGTCTATGGACAACCTTCTCTCCACACCTCTCGCAGTCCACTGGATACATACGACAGCTGGAGGAATGGTGGCCCTGGGAGGGGGGAAGTTGCAAGCAGTTATAGCGGAGGAAAGATTTCTCCAAGTTTATTAGCTCTCTCCTAAAGGTTTGTAGTTGGTAGCTGGTAGCAACGTTTTAACGGCCTTTTAAAAACCACTGATACACACAAGCCAGTACACATTAGGGATTGCCCATCTAAGACACCTGCACTATCCCATAGCTCTTGTCCCAAGACCCAAACACCTGAGTTTTAATCAACACCACACATTTAACACTTGGCCAGTTTCAATACAGCTATATACACTTAGTACAAGTGCACTTCATCCTCACTCCTCACCAACCTCTAAGTCCTTAGCAACCAGTTTCTCCTGGCAGTGAGAGCAGGTAACCAGGCGATAGAGACACTGGGCGAGGTGGGACTGGAGCTGGATGGCCAGAACCATCTCATGACAGCCTGCGTTTGGACAAGACACTCCTGCAAATTCACACCCTGCAACATGAGACTGCGGGGGAGAGGAGAGAGAGAGAGAGAGAGAGAGAGAGAGAGAGAGGGAGAAGAGAGATGAAGGGACAAGAAGAAGAAGAGGGAGAGAAGAAAGAAAGAGAGATGAGAAAATGGAGTCAGGTGGCAAAGGAGTAAAGAGAAAAGAACAAACATGGGAAGAGAGGAAGAGAAATTTGGTAACACTACAAATAAAGGGAAGCAAAGGAAGCAAAGGAAGGAAGTAAAGGAAGTAAAAGATGAGGAAGTTGAGTGACTAAATCTATTTCCCCATACCATGATGGCTTTATGCAAGTTCAAGTTCGTTTGTTTGTAAAACTTCACACTTGCATCTGCTGGCCAAAAGTGCATCATATGAACCAACCAACCAAAAAATAGAGAAGTTACCCGACAAATCTGATTGGTCAGTTCAAACTAGCTATGCACTGATTGGTCAGTTCAAACTAGCTACTAACCTTGTACAGCTCCAACCTTCCCTGCCAGCTGCAACCAAACTTCTTGTGGCGACAGAGGACGAGAATGGCGTTCACTTCTCTCAGGGCTGCTCTATCTGGATAGTAATGTGTAGTACAGAGAAGCCATATAATATGATAAGCAGGTATTTATCTGATTTGCACAAAATCAACTGTTGCTCCTACATCCTGCTATGCCTAGATATTTTCTACAATTTGGCTCTCCAGCACTTGAGAAAAAAAAGGTTTTACTTTTTCCAACAACTTTGCTAGCTGAAGCAGAATGTTATTCCAGAGTTGGTATAAATGACGCGATGTTACCACGTGACTGTATCACTACCATATCTCTCCTTTTATGGAATACAGTTGATTCACACAGCAAGACTGTTTGTTAAACTCGTGACTTTACATTCGTCATCAACAACAACGAACATAGGAGGAAATTAAGTCTAATTATGGCATCATACATACGAGGGAAAACACTCGTTAGGATTATTTAGTCTTCGGATGGACTTACGTAAGAGGGTTCACTTGTACACATGTTGTATTATACTATCACACTATATAGCAGCAAATCAATGTGCATTATGTCATCATGATGTGTGCCAAGAAATGCTATTGCAGCATATATAGTTGCGACTACACAACATAGCATGAAGAGATATATACTACATTTTGTACGTATATACTTGAGAAGAGATCGTACAATAGAACAACAATTGTGACAAAGAAGAATTGTCCAAATTAGGTAAAGACAAAAACCCTTGACAATGCAACTAAGGAGTGTGGAATGTGCAGTCAGACATTCCATATGTTAGTGGAGAAGGCACCCACATTACTAAACAAGGCAATGTTTCAATAGCACATCCCATCAGCTGATCAAGAAACAATAGTTGCCTACTAACCATGTAGCTCTCAATCAGTCTCTTTGCAATGGTGGACAGATTGAAATCTGAAGATGCCAGCTTCTTGCAGGCACAAACATGCAAACAGGCTTAGCAATGCAAAGTCACCATGACAATGTTGTCCTTGCAGGCATAGACATGCAATTACAAGGCTTAGCCATGACTCAGATGTTACGCAACATCATGCAACAAGAATCACAGGCTCAATGATTGCTGAACTCAGCATGCAATGATTAAGTATAATGTCTTCTGTAATGTATGTGCCTAGGCAGGTGCATTTCTATTTTACACAGTAGCAAATGTATGTACAGCTTTTATCAGTGTAATTGGTTAAAAGCACAATATTTTGTGTATGAAGCATTCATCCAGATTTTTAAATACAGAACTTAACAATGTCAAGTATAATGGAACTAACACATTATCTGTTGTTCCAACTCTACACATTATGATGCAACTACGCTATGTGATGCAACATGGGGAAACAATAGGGAAATGATCAGCCCACGGTTTGATGTGACTGAATCAGCAAGCTAGGTTGACAGATGCAGCAAAAATCACAACTTTTCCGTCATTATTTGATAATATTGATTAACTATGCAGCTATTCTAAGAGCCTATGGGGTCCAGCTGTGTATGTGTATACATTGGTGGAAGAAACAGTCCGTGCTTGTCCGTGCTTGTCCAACTTGTCACATGTGAGTGCCTTTGACCCAAGGAAACATGAACTTATTCCATGGAACTGATACACAACAGGCCAATTCAAAGGAATTGACGACATTACCACTGCACAGCTAAGGACTTGGTCTACCACAAACACCACAGCCAGCCAAAGCTAACCCAGCATCAACAGCATTGCCCCAGCAAGCAACCACAGAGCCAATACAACCACAAAAGCCTCAAACAGCATCCTAAGTCTTCAAAATACAAAATATAGCATTGACATACCTGCCCTTCCTTCACAGTAACGTCGCAGCAATTGCATCTTCCTCCGGGCTTGCTGCAGTAACGATCATATTAACCCTTTGGGTGCCATTTACATATATATATGCACAGAGCCTCCATAAGTGCATAAGAATTTATATATGGCTATAATACTAGGCGCTAATATGTTATACATCAATTTCTGCTTATTTAAGGAGACACCGATGGCGCCCAAAGGGTTAACAATTACGCATGCGCGAACTACACGCGGGCCGTGTGCGCGTCACTCACATCTTTATTTGCTCGAGACACCCTTTGCAGAGCCTGATGCCTTCTTCTGTTTGCATAGGTGTATCCAGAATCAGGTGGCAGTGCGGACAGACATTGGATTCTTTCTTGGCGGTAGCATCCACGAGAGTCACATCAAACCCCATGTTTTTGTTTGTCCTGGCGTATTTCGGTTTCTTTATCGTTAAAAACTACTGAACTACCTGTATATTAGGCTAAAATGTTCAAGAGCGGCCGCCCCCTCGCTCCCTGAAAGACGGCTGCGCTGAAAGTGAGGATCAGAAGGGGAAAATGACGGCTTCTTGCAAGCTGCTGGAGGTGGAACGGAGCTGCGGACCCGCACAGGCAGGCAGCCGCTTAGTGAAGTTACCACATTTCGTTTTCCATTGCGTAAAAGGTAAGTTCCACAGACTCGGCTAGCTCTAGGTAGGTGCACAGCTATAAAAGTCGCATTTTATACCGGTGGTCGAAAGTTGAGGTTTTCCCCGGAAGTCGATGACGTGACGGCGGCGGATCGCTAGCTAGAGAGCTAGAGCGCGGCAGAGCCCAGCATGCACCAGTTCGAGGGGTCGCCTACCGAGCTAGAGCAGCGGGCCGCGCCGGTGATCGAACAATCGTCAGTGCAGTGTGACGGCGAAAGGCACCTATCTCATGATTACAGCTGAAATGAAAAAATCACTGTGCAAGTGTGAATGTAGGAGAAATGGATAATGCTGCAGTTTATTCATAAGAATCAGCAATGTGCCTATATTATAGACTAGTTCAAAAAGCTCCTCTTCCTCTCCCTCTGCCTCCTCTGCCCCCCCTCCCTGCCCCCCTGCCCCCCTTGGGTGGAGGGGTCTTTGGTCTCAGTGTCTCGATCTCATCCGAGTGCTGGAGAAGGTAGCCTGCAGAGCCCTCGAAGAAACACTGGTAGACTTCCTTGGAGAAATTGGAGGATGTCAATGCTGGACCTACTGTCAACCAACCTAGTGGTATTATACAACACAGCAATAATAAACATTTATGGCAATTATACACATCGGCATATTATGTTACAGAATATCCAGAAGATTCTGTGGCAAGTGACCAGCAATATTATTCTCAAGGTTTCTGAATATTAATGACAAATAATGCATGTGTTACAGAACCTTCCAGAAGTTTCTGTGATAAATAAGTATACAACACAGGTTGCTGAGAGTTATAATTGCCGAGCGCATTAGCGTGATTTGCCGCGATATGCGTACATACGTGTCGGTCACGCGAATGTCAATTAGTCACGCTTAGGGCTGGTGCAGCATGTATAATAGTGAATGATGAAACTCTCAGGGGGAAATCGAAGGGAAAACCCCTCAGGTAAGTAGACAGTGCAAATGATGCAAAAGAGGTTAAAGTCTTGCAAATCAAACCCTGCCCTTAGAATTGCAGCCCCATCCTTCTGCATGCAATAAACCCAACTGCCAAAGTGCGTGGTACATCGCCATAGATACTATTACACAGTATCCATGACGAAGCTACGTATATAGTACAGTAGTATCTATGACGAAACTAGTACATTAATAGATGGTTGGCTGGTACCGGACCTGGGCGTATGGAGTTATCGGTTCCAAATAGGTGGAGTCTGCGTCGACCGAGGCAGAAGTGCTCTATGATGTGGAAGATCTCCTCCGGTTTCGAAATATCTCCTGCAAAATAGAAGAGAAGGTATATATGGTATTTGCAGTGAAACACAGCTTCACAGAAAGGGCACACAGCAGCATGCAAAGCTTTTGCAGTTTGTGTTCTAAAGTATGTACATATGAGGTCAAAGACAGGGTGTATGAACAGAGGGCTCTGGACACCATTGTATAATCACAGGCTTGGCATGGGGGAACATCAGGTCAACATGAGATCGTAAGATGCAGTCTTTGCAGGTGTCTGTGTTGGGGGAATTCCCCAGGGGAATACCCCTCTCTTTTGTTCCAATTGTATACATGATGATTGTGGCTGAAGTGCAGCTTTTAAAATGAGAGCTTTTGAGGGCTCACTTCATTTGCCAAGCATAGCCTTTACATCAGTACATCAGTACAGATGGGAGGGCAAATAACCCAAAGAGAGTCATTCTACCTATTGGTGTTTCTTCAGTTATAATGATGTCCAGATCGATGTTAGCGTGGATGAAATGACCATCTTGATTCCTGCGAACAGTTCCCTTTATTCCCATCAGACAATGCTCCTGGGAGAGAAATAGGGACAAGTCAAACAGAAATTTTACATTAACGAATGCAACACATTATTGGCAAGCAAACATGAATAGTTCCCATTTTTTCTCAATCTTACAACATTAAGGTACATGCAGTCCCAGAAGAACATGCCAAATTACTACAACATTCCAGTGATTAGTCTAAAAAATGGCTCCACCCTATTATCTAAATACCATTGACCAGAAGTTACTGTAGCTAAAACCTCAATACTTGTGGGAGATGTATATAGGGAGTTTTGGAACAGTGCCATGTACAAACCAAGGGAGTGGCATATACCATGGTAAGTGGTGGTAGATAGGTATGGGCTAGGAGCGTGATGTGGTTATTTGTATAGTTTTACCCCATCAACAGCACATCTCTATTATACGGTATGATTTATTGGTACCCACTCTGTAAATCCTAGCTGCGGGCTAGTCACTTCCTAATCAACACCCAACTTTTGCTTTCCTTATATGGAATTCAGGCATTGTGCTGGAGAAGTACCAATTAGGTTTACTGATGATGGCAAGTAGCTCTATTCCATCATAGAGCAACTTGCCCGTCATCAAACCTAACCTAATACATATATACTGTAATAGTGATGGTGGTTATGGTAAGGAAAGCCCCCATAATTAGCAACAGTGAAAACAAACGCCACAAAACAAATCCCTCCCCACTTTTCTTAGAGGTGCAAACAGGTTTGTGGGAAGAATTTTTATTTCTCACACACCTACTTGCAGTCTCACATATCCTAATGCCGTGTTCTAGCATAAAAATCACAGAGCGGTGCTATCTGGGGGCTGGGGGGGGCTTGTGGGGGGTCTGTGGGGGGGCTGGGGCTTGGCTGGGGTGGCGGGGCTGCTGGGGTGGGGGGGGGGGGGGGTGTGGGGGCTGGTTCTGGGGGGGGGGTGGGTTGGTGTGTGGGGGCTGTGGGGGGGCTGCTTGGGTCTGGCTTCTGGGGGGCTTCTGTGGCTGGGCTGCTGGGGGGGTGGGTGTGGGTTCACGCTAGTGGGGTCTGGGGAAAATTTAGCATTTAGACTCTCAGAGATTGGAATCTGGGGGAATTTGAGGCAAATGTGTTAAAATGAACGACACTACTCTTCCACGCAGGATTTAGCCTGTCTTGTGCTTCTCCTACTTTCCTTGACACAGCTGGAACTAGCGTTTCTGCGCTTATCTCTGACCGCGGTGGTGAAACACGGTGGGCAGCTTTTTATAAACTTACGTAAAACTGTGAATACTTATTCGAGCGCGTGCGCATAAGAGCGGCGGGCAGTTGCAATAAGAGCGAGCGGATGGACTATAGCGCGGCGCTGCAACCGCTCTTTCCGCGCTTTAACGAGAACCCTGTAATGTTTAGATTAAGAATAGCGCATTCTGTTAGTGAGCAGTCGAGAATGATAATTCCTACTGCTAAATCTGAGGATATCCAAATCCCTTAATTCATGTCCTATTTACATAATCCATACCATGGTTGGAACATTATACTAAAGCTCCAGACCAAGGCTCTCAGAGTGAGAGAGGAGGATGTGGAGCTGTCCCATTTCTGTTATAACATATTTGATGCTTATTTAGTAAATTCCAATGCTTCGATATATGCAAACCTATCATAATATATTGTATGTATCACACCAAACATGGCAGAATTGTACGAGTTTCTAATTACCTTGGTATTTTGCAGAATGCTCTCTGCTCGATATGTTGGTTATTTTTTTACTGGGTTTCTTGTTTAGTTTTTTAAAAAACCCAACTATCTCTTCCCACCTTCTGTAGCCCCATTTCCTTGAGATCAACACTGCATACATGTCTAGACGGAATAAATTAATTAATTCCCTATACAATTTCGCTATGATGTCTCGCAGCAAACCTCTTTAGGCCAAGGCTATATGCACGGTCCGAAAACAGTATATTCACTTTTCTACAACAAAATATTTCTTAGTTTACGACAAAAATAATTATATGTGTCCTTGCCTGTGTTTTACGACAATTTCTATTTCTCTAATTTCTTGCTCCCTCTTAATTTCTTTTCTGTCTGCTTAGTGCATTAGTCTAGTGTGAGGGTCATGATTTTATGACCCTATAAAAACCTTAACAAACAAACAGGTTGTTTGTTGTGATGAGTCAGGTAATAAACATAACGGTAAAGACGAGTATTAAGACTTGTTTAGCATATGGTGGCCCTGGGCTGTTTTGGTCCTCTCACCGAGTCAAATATATAATTCATTAACAAAGGAAAATGACTCATCAAAAACAATTGTCCATCATGATTAATGCCGTGCCTAAAACACATATCAACTATCAAAAAAGACCAAGTTGCACACACTTCCTGACTAAACCCACTTTCTGTCAGTTTTATCCCTTTCTCTCTCTAGCTTACATGTAGGGGGTGTTTTCCCTATGTATGTATGTACCTCAAAGTCCACTGACGTTTTATACTACCATCAGGAGTGCATATGCTCTAAATATAATGTGAGATAAGGTTAGTCTCATTATTATTATTAATCTAGGCAGTGTTGAAAATGAATCTCACCCTAAAGTCATGTTATATTGTCATTGGTAAATACCTCTCTGTGGGCCGGCCCAGGTCCAGTCCCTACTGACCACACCAGAGGAGAGGAATCCTTTGAGCTCCAAAATCCTCCAGTTTCAACGCATTATCTGACGAGAGAACCGAATGCACAAAACAATGTGTAGTTTGAGAAAAAACCAAGTCGAAAAACTATGAAAACCATTGTATAAAACATTCTATCAATAATTTACGCTTGCTCAGAGGCTATATTGATAATATTAACTGTGCACGCCTACAATTACCGTCAATGCACCCACCACCCACCACCCAACCAACCACGTAAACAGTACACGCAGACAATGAATAAACTATACACTATGACCCTCACCCCTTATAAAAACCATCTGACTTGCCAAACTGTGGGTGGTTTTGTTTCAACCTAAACAACTGTCGCCCACAATTTATCGGTACAAAGCACTTAGCGTGGTAAATGTTTGAAGTCACTTAGAATAATTATTTTAATAACACAAGCGCCCACACAAGAGGACAAGCCAACATGTGTGTCCATTTTGAGGCAATCACGTTTGCACTGACGTCAGCGATACAACAACCCTCCAACTCCCCTCCCGCACCCCCCACTCCCTCACTTCCCTTACCCCCCTCCCTCCTTCCACCTCTAATCCTACACTCCTCTCCCCGTCCCCCACCATCCTCTCTCATCTTCCACTCCTCCCCCCCACCCCCCCCCACCCCAAACCCACCCCACCATACCTAAAACACTTACCACACCCCCACCTCAAGCTCTCCGCTTGGTATTCCCTCCATGGACGGCCTCCACCACATCACATCAAACTTGACCCTCCGTAAACCAAATAAATCGAAACTCGTCAGTCGTCTGCAGGTACATTGGCTGGCGGCCCCCTTGCTTTACTGTCCGCCCTGTACATGTGGAGAGATCATACTGTGAATATTCGATACTCTACACAACATGCAAATGAATTTGGCGAGCGAGCGTGAGCATTAAAATTATAAAAACAAAAAAAAAAAAAATTATAAGGAAACATTGCAGTGGCAAAATAATAGGAAAAAATCCCCGCATTCAGTACGCTCGCCTTCACTCCCATGAATATCTTATCATACTAATGTCCAATCTATAAACCGTGAACTACTATACAAAAACTAGACCATGGGAAAGAACACATATTCCTGTTACACCGATATCAAGCTCTGGCTCAGGTTCAAACTTATATAATAATGATAAGAGGATCTTAAATGGATCCTACCATGGAAATGAATATTGTGAATTCCTGTGAACGTGTTTAATCATGTGGTACTCTAGTATAATAGTAACTACATCAACTCTTTACTCGAAAAAGTTGCTGCCATCTATCCGAATTGATTGAGAAATGAATTCTATAGCAATGAGAACAAATCTCAGACACTTAGCCAATCACTCGGATGACTACAACAATAGCTCCAATGAACATTAGCAAGTGCACATTAGATATTACTTGCGCTTTACAAAATGATGCTAGAACCTTCATTAACTAGGTTTATACATGTTGAATCACTTGCTACCAAACCTTCATTCAGTTAGATGTTTTTAGATCACTTGATACCTACAAAAAAAAACCCGTGCATCGAACCTTCAATCCCCTCATAGTTTCCCTCATTTGGGGTATTCCCTGACCTCTCTTCCAATCCCCACAATCTCTGATGAAGTTCTGCGGTCTCTGACACGTGTCCACAAGTGCTGGTATAGTCGTTTTGGGGGTGCACTCTGGGTTCCCCTGCACAGGAGCCAGGAAGAATAGGTTTTAATATGGTAATGCAAAACTGCTCCGAATTTTTTAAATAATCAAGATCTTAAAACCTTTCGCAAAACTTGGTTTTTCCACCAGGAAGCATGTTTCCAACTGCATTGTAAAAACCTTTTCTCCGTGAAATTTTGTTTTGACGTCTATAGTCATTTGCTAACGTTATTGTTTGAAAGTTTTAGTTCTCCTGTACAGAGGAAAA